TGAAGACTACTACTGCCTCTGTCCAACTACCTCCCGTGAAGTGCATGGGAACCTCCTATGTACTACTCGGCCTGCCTCCTGACTGCAGGGCGAGGCAGTCCAGGAGGCTGCTCTTGCCAATGCCGCAGGGAGTCRGGGGCTGCYGCTGCAGCTCCTGCTTGTGGCTGTCGTGGGAAACAGGCTAAAGATAGCCTGTTTCCAAAACCCTGGTTTTGTGCCTGAGTGTTAGGACAGGTCGATCTTATGAGGGCCCGAAAGTGGCCCTCCGTTTCAGGCTGAAAAGCCCTGTTATAGGCTGAAAACGAAATAGGGCCTGCAGGCCCTCGTTTTCAGTTTCAGGCTGAAACGACATGGGGCCTGTAAGCCCTTATTTCTAGGCTTTTAGGCTAAGAATGCGGGACGGGCCCTGCAGGCCCGTGTGGCTACGCAGTATGCCACACCCCCCCCTCCTTGAAAGACCGAGCTTACSTGCGAGGGCGAAGCTGTCTGTCTGAGGTAGGGACCACAGTCCGGGTGGGAGGGGCAGGTCATGAAGGTCCCTGAGCTAACCTTTGTCGCTCGTAGTGAGCGTAGATCAGCGGTGCGGATGCTTTCAAATCTGTTCCTGAAATCCACCGAGTGTCGTCGGGATCGCATGCTCTGAATGTAACCTTGTACTGGCGAGGCTTGCTGCCATACTTGCGATCCGTGATGACGCGATCAACCTCCTGATGACCATTCATAGATGGAGGGTCTTTTTGGAATGCGCGCTTGTGCCCGTCGTGTCCCCCATCCTGTGGTCTCGGTATGCTGCACACCGTGACGGATCGCGTTGCGTCGTGGTTCCGCTGCGTTTAGGTTGTGGGCTTCGAAGGCTACTGTCCTCTGTCTCCTGGGTTTCGCCTGCGTCGAGTGCTGTTGGTGGTGCCCGCGGCAACCGGCGGATGTGGACCCAGGGGGGAGCGGGGTTGTGTTCCTTTTGCGCCCCCGTGCACAGGTGGAGGCTTTCCGTCCGTCCGGGCGTGTTGGAAGCGTGGTGCATTCGTTTCTCTCTTCACCCGCGTTTSTCGATGGAGAGATGAGGCTGTGCACTTTGCTGTCGGTACGTTTTGGGTGGGCGGTGGCATCCGGCTGTGGGCTGAAGCTGTCGGTGGTTCCTTCGCACGCGCCGTTGTTCGGGTAGTGTGGTTAACTTGCGATCTATGGGTGTGGTGTGGGCGGGTGCTGTTCGCAGCCAATCTCTTGGGCGGGTGCGGCGGGCTGTGTTGGATTGTGCGGTACCTTGCCGTTGGAGATGGCCTACGGAGGGAAGTTCACCTGCAATTCAAACAGCCGGACTTCACGGCGTCTCGGCAGCTCATTGCACGTTCCACGATTGTTCGACGATCTTTTGGTAGGCTGTCCGGCGTGACGTGCCTACGTGCGCCTCGGCCATCGCTCCTTGCGGCTGCTCGTCACACCCGCTACCTGGTTGATCCTGCCAGTAGTCATATGCTTGTCTCAAAGACTAAGCCATGCACGTCTAAGTGTGAACACTTTGCACTGTGAAACTGCGAATGGCAAAAATTAGCGCAGCAGGCAAAAATTAACGCAGCAAAATTAGCGTAGTGTAGAGCGCAGCGTGGGGGTCTGGAGCGGGTGGGATTTTGACCGCGCGGCGAATTGCCGCGCAATTTTTTTTCGGTCTTGATTTTTTTGGCGGTGGGGCGCGCGGCAGGCCTGCGGTGACGGCGCAAATTTGTGTTGATGTCCGGCCTGTAGGGTTTCGCTGGCGCGGCGCGTGGCGGGCTGGCTGGCTGGCTGGGCCTTGGTGCTCTGGCGGCGCAAATTCGTGTTGACGGCGTGGGCTTGTGTTGACGGCCGGGAAAATTGCTTCGTCTGGTGGCCGCGCGTTGACCCTCGGGAGTGACGAAAGTGATGGGTCAGGAGTGATGGGGAGGGGTAAGGGCAAGCGAACTCTCTGTGTAACGAAGCTCGGCGCCCGGAGCGTGACGGCGGACTTTGGTGCGCGGCGGCGGCGGAATGCGCTCGCGGCTCTGCTCCCTATTGCCCTTTGTCACCGAGCGCCATCTGGTTTGTGGGGATTAGAGAAGGTGGAGGTTAGGAGGGGGGTTCCGATTTAGTGTACGTTAGGTAGGGAGGGAGTGCAAGATGGGCGGGTGTCATGCAGGGGGGTGGGCACGGGCTGTGCCATGAGACCCTGCCTGGGGAACAGAAGGCGCTGTGTGTGATTGTGTTATAACGGTATGAGCTGCCTTGCTGACTGGCCGACCCCGGATTCGGGGAGCCTCGCTTACTAACTCCGAGCAAGGAGGTGCGGGCACGGCCTGCGAATAGGGAGAAGGAGGTACGGGAGGAGGAATCGGGTGTGGTTGGGAGGGTAATATACATAGTAACGTAGCGTGGTGTGGGAACAAATGGAGGCCCAGCGGCTGGCCCTGATGCGGATGCTTCGACGGGCCTATCTGCTTGGACTACAGATCAAGTCAACGGACCTGCTCGCTGTCTCGGTGGAAGGGGGAGTGGCGATCGGCCGGCCGGCGTCGGATTTGGGATACCTACTGACCACATATGCCAGAACCCACGCGGTGGTGATAAGACTGCCCGACGCCGCGGTGCACTGGTCACGTAGTATGAAAAAGGCGTGGGCAGCGGCCAAAGAGGAGCTGTGGCTTATGGGACGAGGACCGTGGAAGGGTACTATAGACATCGAGGGGGCAAGAACGGTGGTGTATACAGCCCCGTCAGCGGACATCCGAGACTGGCTGGTGACGGACCAGAAAACAGAAACCATGATGGTGGGGGACGTGAGGTTCGACGTCCCCCTGTCTCCGTGGAGATCACCCGCGGAGATGGAACTCCAGAAGGAGGAAGAGCGACGGGCTTGGCCGTGGGTAAAAGTGTTTAGCCCCCCGTCATATGTTGCTCCTTTGGAAGAACAGATGGTTGAATGCCTCTTTGGGGATATAGTTTCGAGGGCTGCTTTCGCTGACGAGGACAAAGAATACCGGAAGTATGTAGTGAGGGGTCCGCTTAAGTCAAAACACGTGGACATGGTTGCAATGGCCCTCGGCCCGATGTCGATGCAGGAGCTGCGGTTCGTGACGAGCGATACTCCATTTTGTGATGTATGCTTCTCCCACGGTCATCTGGGTAAGGAAGGTCGATGTCTATCCCGGACGGCATTGATCAGAGAGTTACAGGAGCGGGAGATGCGGAGACATATGGACCCTATCCTGAAATCCTCGTTGGACGAGGAGCGACGAGCATGGACGGAGGTGGAAAGGGCCTTCGACGGGGAGATTTTGCAGGAGCTACGAGAGGCGCAACTCAGGGGAGTAGAGATTGGGGGAGTGAAGGTGGGCCACCCCCCAGTTAAGCCGGCCCTCTTTCAGCGACGACGCGCTCGCCGACCTCAACCGGCAATGAAGGAGCCCCAGAACAAGCCGACCCCGACGGACACCAATGAGTATATGCAGACGGACCTCCCGACCTGGCTGTTCGGGGATGAGGGCAAGAAGAGGAAGGACCCGGATGGGGAACAGGCTCACGCGACCAATGACCGGGTGCCGGGGGAGAAGCGATCGAAGGAGAAGGGACATGAACCCTCGGCGGGTCAGCGGCCCACAGGACCATCGGCGCAAGGGGAGGACAATGAGGGCGATCAGCGGGAGGGGGGGGTGACTCGACCCTGGGAGGAAAAGGAGCAAGCTCCTGGGGGGGACCCAGGCTCTGTAGGCCCGCTGGGTCACGGGAAGGACCGTGCGATCACTGACCGAGAGCCCGGGGAACATCGACCTGTGGAGGCTTCGATTCCTGGGCAGGGCAAAGACGGTAATGACCAGGATCCTGGGGAGAGACGATCTACGGATGAACGGGGACGATGCCCCGTGGTGGAGAAGGAAGTAGCGGACCAGCCAAAAGGGGAGGACGAATTGCGAGGCTTGGAGGAGGACAAGATCGCGGAGGCCTGCGAGGGGCAAAGTCGTGAAGGCGGGACGGATCAGGGGGGGGAGAGCAATCACGTTGCACTGCAGCAGGGACAGTTTTGGATGTCCCCGGACCGATGGCCCGATGTGTGGTGGTGACGGGGTGTACTCCAGGGGTGTCGCCGAACGATGGCCCTGCTACTCACCCGTCAGCCGGTGATATGGGCACAGGCGAGCAAGGCCTGCGGCCCGAGGATTGGCAAGACAAGCGGGTAATCGTGGACGACGTGGTTCGTCAGATCACGCAGGCGCAGATGTGCGGGGGGTGGGAGGGGATCCCGAGGCGGTTGACCCGGTGGGACCCAGTCGGTGGTCATACGGGAGCCGCTAATCGACGTGCGGAAACGCTGGACAGCCGGGCAGATGCCCAAGGACGGGAGAAGGGGGTTACTGGCGCAAGGGCTGGAGCAGGCGAGAAGGATGGACCGCAGAACAGAAGTGGGGACACAACTGGGGGGGAGACAACGGTACATCAGGGTGTGGCAGGGGACAGGCAGGTGCAAAACGACGACCTTGTTCACAAGGATGCGCTCCCGATTGTCCTGTTTCTCTCCCAGAAGGAAGAAGGTGAGAGGGTTGATCGGAAGGAGGAGTTGAGGGACGTGCATGACCGAGGGGCTGTGAGTGGCGTGTCGACCCCGGCGGACTTTACCGTGAATCTTAAAGCTAGTCTTCTCGCTTCTGGCGCAGAGGACGCAAGGGACGTGACCAGCACACGCGCCAAGATTGGAAGTAGAAGAAAGCAATTGTCCTCTGGCCCCCCAGAGAGGACTCACCTGCAGCGGTTTCGACAGCATCGGGGACCAAGCAGGAGGGGAGAGGCGAAGTAAAGGATCCCCGCTCACGAGCACAGGCGCGGGAGCGATCGAGGTCGCCCTGCAAGCGGGTGACGAGGGGAAAAGAGCGAATTGTCTCCCCTGAGCGCCGAAAGTTGGACGACGGTGGGGAGCAAGATATGGTCTTGGATGCGGTCGTAAGGGAGAGGGATCGCTCCCGCCCCCGCCCCCGCCCCCGCCCCCGCAAATGTAGAAGAGATGGTCGGGAGCGCCTGAGCTCCCCGAAGCAATTGAAGACGAGGGGGGGGGGGGGGACAGGGAGGTGTCCCGTTTGAACTGGACTCGCAGACGGCGGAATCGCGGCCCCCGGGGGACCCGGGTGCTGACGCAATGGATCAGGAGGAGCCTTTGATCCTGGACGAAGGAGAAGACTCGACGGGGGAAGGGGAGGGGGGGGATGACCCCCTCACTGTGACTTTGGCAGCGCAAGGCCAGCTGCAACAGATTTTGGACGCAGGGGACTGTAATATCTGCCCTGTGATGCTGTGGTGGGCGGGGGACGACATCAAGGTGGCTACGAGAGGTGGATCGGAGCTCTTCTCCTATACCGCCCGGTCGCTTCCCAAAAATGTCAATGTCTATCGTCAGATCTGCCGATGGATGGGCCGGAACTATCGTGTGAAAGTGCTCCCCAGGGTTTCGGTGGGTAGATTCTTTCGGCAGCCGGCGCAGGGAAATGAATATGGTCTCCTGTTCTTTTTCGCGGAAATCACTCCGAAGCGCCAGGCTCTTTGGCCTTCGCGCATAAGGAGGCAACATGGATGACTTTTGCCAACCTCTTCGGCCCACGCTCTATGCCGGAGACCTTCAAGATTGTTAACGAGTTCACTGGGGCGATCCTTCATAAGGTTAATGATCTGCTTCTGGAGAGTCAGCGAATTGGATCCCCAAACTTTTTTCATGCTGCGGGCTGCTGGAAAACTGAGGACCGTTTTTAGGAATTCGGACTGGTATATAAGCTGTGTTAATTATGGAGTGCCTCATGGTGAGAGCACTCCCTCCCGAGTTTAGAGTTGTCGACGTTTGTTCTGTTTTTGTTCGTCTGTTTTTTTGTTTTTTTTGTTTTTTGGGCCATTCTTTGCCCCTCTTTGTGCCTTCTCAGTCTACTTGTTCTCTTTGCTGTTGTTTGTTCTGGCCTTTTGGGCTTTTTGTCTGCCTGTGTGATGTGATTGCACCTGTATAGTTGTTTGTAATTTTGTGCGATTGGTGTGTATCCTGAGTGTGTGCTCTGTGTGTGTTCTGTCTCTACTTTTTTGGGATTTTTTCTCTACTGTGTGCACTTCATAATGAATCGCCCCCTGCGTCTCTCGAAGTTGAAGGTGCTGTCATGGAATGTCCGGGGCCCGTCAACGCGATCACTCAACCCCAAGCGATGGGAGCTGCAGCGAGCTGTCCGCAAACACCAGATTGATGTTGTCTGCCTGCAGGAGACCAAGCTGGGGGAAGGGCTCTGTGCCCAGGATGCGCCCTGGTGGAAAGGGCACCAAATCTGGGCCCCGGCCCAGGGTTCAAGCGGTGCCCAGGGCACTCGAGGGGGGGTGGCCATACTACTCTCCCAACACTTTCGAGGGGAGGTTGTGGACTGGCACTGGGATCAGATGGGGAGATGGGCATGGATACTGCTGCAGTGGGGAAGAGTGCGATGGTGCGTGATGACTGTCTATGGACCGTCTGACCCGAGGGAGCGGCGAGAACTATGGGGTGATTTGCGGAGATGGATCCCCGAGGCGGCGGGCTATGTTATCGTGGGGGATTTTAACACGACCATCCAGCCATGCCTCGACTCAGTGGTGGACAGACCCCCGGCAGCGGATGCAGAAGCCCTGCAGTTGCTGATGGCTGATCTGGGCTGTGTGGATGCTTATCGCACAGCGCACCCTGATGACCAGCTCTTCACCTGGCTGGGCCCAACACTGGATCGCCGCAGTCGAGTAGATATGATCTGGGTCTCGCATGCAATATATCAATGTGGGAACGAGACATGGTGTATACCCACCCCCTCGTCGGACCATATGCAGATCATGGCAGCCTTCCCGGTGGGCCATCTTAGAATGGGACGCCCCCCTCCGTCTATCCAGGCCTGGGTTTTTCAAAGCCCGGACTACCAGCCGCTGATCCAGCAGCACTGGATTCACTGGCTGGCGGCCCGCCCGCAGGATGTGTCTGAGTTAACATGGTTGCTACAGGGACTCGGGGTCTTGCGCCAGTGTTTGCACACCAGGCTTACTGCCAGCTATCGAGCTCACCTGGCGACTGGGCAAGAGTATGTTGATCGTCTCACCGACCTTGCCAGGGGTCCAAAGGACGCTCAGACCGATGAGGAGTGGTGGGTCGAGAGGATGGAGGCGGCAAGAGAATGGAAGGAATGGGAGGTAATAGAGGCCGCCAGATGGGGCAAGACGAGACGGTTCTTTAAGGAGCTGGGGAAAAAGCAGGGAATAGCCATCGTGACAGCCATGGATCACCCTTACGATCAGCAATTGCCGAGGCAAGAGTCTACTGCGGGAATCCTCAAGTGCGTCACCGACTTCTACACACACTTATTTACGGAGGAAGAGGAATGGTCCCCGGAAGACATGGCCACAGCTCCGCAGGAGCACATTTGGAGACACATCCCCGACGGCCTACCCCGGGAGCGAGCCATGGCCTTGGAAGCGGATCTCACAGGGGAGGAAGTGGCTAGAGCGATTGCTGAGCTCCCCAGGCTCAAGGCCCCAGGGGTGGAGGGCATCCCGATTGAGATGTACAAAGCAGCCAAAACTCTGTTCGTGCGTGTCTTGACCAGAGCCTATAACGATGCGTTGAAGTCTGACGCTCTCCCCGCTGGATTTGCAGACGCCTACGTAGTGCTGATTTACAAGAAAGGGGCCCGAGAGGACGTTAGGAACTGGCGCCCTATTTCGATTCTGAACACAACGTATAAGGTGCTAGCGAAGGTTCTAGCTAACCGCTTGAACCACGTCCTCCCAAGCCTAATAAACCCGACCCAAGCGGGGTTTGTCCTGGGCAGACAGATTGTGTCGAATATTCTCCTCGCTCGGCAGGTTCTGCAAAATATGGAGGTGCACGATCAGCCACTGACCTTCGTCACTATTGACCTGGAGAAGGCGTATGACCGGGTCCGATGGGAATTTCTTTTGCGAAACTTGCAATGCCGCAGGGTGGGTGCCAAGTTCTGTCATTGGACGAAGCTACTCCTCGCCACAGCCAGGACATGCCTGCAGGTGAATGGCGTGCGCTCGGACTATCTGCAGCTCTCGAGATCAGTGCGACAAGGATGTCCACTTTCCCCGGCGTTATACGTGGTATACGTTGAAGCCCTCCACCATTTGTTAAGAGGCGATAGTGAACTCTGGGGGCTACAGATAGACCAGGACCGGGAACTTAAATCGACGGCGTTTGCTGACGACACGGGGGCCATTATTCCGCCAACAGTGGAGCAACTTCGGCGGCTGCAAGCTAATCTGGACCTGTTCGCGGTCTACTCTGGCGCCAAGGTGAACTGGGGCAAATCCAAGGCTATCCTCCCTCGCAATTGGGTGTTTCGGATGGCTGGGATATCCCGGTCATCCAGGATGGGGAAAACCTCCCCTTTCTGGGTGCTATGTTATGCCCAGACGAGGGGGGGACGCAGCAGATGGAGGGATTGGCAGCGGCGGCCATCTTGCGTACGCGGCGATGGGCCAAGCGCGCCCACCTTGGAGTCTTCGGCAAGGCCCTAGTGCTCAAGAACTCGGTCCTGTCCACCAGCCATTCCCAGGGTGGCGTGGAAAAAATTGATCCAACCCAGAAGGGAGGGGGGTCTGGCTATTCTGGACCCGAAACTGCAGATTACTGCACTTCAGCTGCGAAGTCAGGTATGGACCCTGTTGGGTGTCGCGGGCTCCACCTGGGAAGGCCTCACCATGCAGCATCTAGCGGCAGTCATGGAGGTCACAGAGCAGTTGGTCCCTGTTGCGCTGGTCAGCAGCTCACTGATCGGACATGTCAAGCGGCACCGGGTTTGGTCCACCTCCATTGGTTTGTGGAAACGTATACGACTGGAGCAGAAGATGCCGGCCTCTGCGGATGAGGTTTTTAATCAACTTCTATTCGATAATCCCTGCATCTGTGACGAGGAAGGGGATCCCTTCCCATGGCAAGGATCCCCGCAGGCCTTCGGCCGTACGTGGGCGCTTTGTGGAGTTTTCAAGATTGGCCACCTGTGGAATGAGGCTGAGGGTACCTGGGGGAGTGACAATGATATGGCAAGGAAGCTGCCCCACGAGTTTCACAGGCGACAAAGGCTGAGGGCACTGCAGACGGGCATCCCCACACAGTGGACAGATATGTTGAGGGAGAATAAATGGCGCCCATGGGATTGGTTGCGGAGGAAGGGAGATCAACGACCGGGCTGCGTGTACCAGATCACGCAGGTAGAGGAGGGACGAGTCGAGGCCCGGGAATGGAGGGTGGCCACTGGGCATGATGGCTTGGGTACCCCCCTCCATCCGCAGGGGGCGGCGAGGCAGTGGTTTGCTACGGAGGATATGGAGTCGGTGGTGGTCTGTGTAGAGGTTAAGAGGGGGGGCCTCCTGGGAACAGTGAGGCCCTTCAAAATTAGCAGCAGGCGTAGGGACCTGGCCATTGACCCTACGGTGTGGCACTGGCCACGACAGAACCACCTCAAGAAGAAAATCCCCCTCCACCAGGTCACGACAAAGATCATGTACCGGTCGCTCCTCCCAGAGGTGGACATAAGAGAGGAGCTAGTGGACAGATGGCACAAGCGAGACTGGTTGCCGCCATGCTATCTGGTGAGATGGCGGCCGTCCGCGTGGCGGGAGCAGTGTGCCACCCTCAAAGACCTCTCAAATCAGAAGCAGGCGGGACTGCTTTGGCTCATCTATCATTTGGCAGTGCCTACTGCGCAGTGGCAAGCAAACAAGAGTAACTATCGGGATGAGCGCTGCGGGGCGGGTTGTCAGCAAGTGGAGGACATCCCACATATGTTTGTCACATGCCCGGTGATCCGTGATTTTTGGACATGGTGGGCATCTGGTATGGCAAACTCTACGCCGTTCGATGTATCAGAGGATAATGCAGCTTACATCTTGTTGGGGGCTCTTGTGCGCGTGGAAAGGAAGGACAAAAATGAGCTCTACGCGATGGAAGTGATTCGGGCGGCGGTCCTCTGGACAATCTGGATATTGCGGAATGAACGCTGTAGGCAGGGGAATGCGATAGTGAGCCAAGAGCTGCGAACCAGAGTTCTGGAGAACCTGCGCACAGCGATGTCCATTGAGGCCCTGCGGAGTCGACGGACGAGGGGCCAGGCACTGACAAGATTCTGGGCGGTCTGGGGGAAGTACCCAGACTTAGTTCAGAGGGACGGAGGAGATGGCATGTGGAAGTACGGTCCAGCCCTGACCAATAGGATAGGGGAGGATGTATAGAGCACACAGTACGGTTTAGTGTATAGTACTAGGACCGCTGACGGATTTCACATGTTGGTTCGCCGCAGTCGTAGGCTAGTTACCTCGGGAGTACACTGACACAGCGAATCTTAGCTCTAGTACCACACGGTGGTGTGCTGTCATCATGCGACTTGACTTCGCAAGTCTGTGTGAAACGTGGGCGTGAAATTTTGTTAACAACCACTGAGGATGTTGTAGAAGCGTAGACTAGGTAGGGACCATCTAAGGGTTCGCGGAGTCGAACTGTGTGGGATGAACTGACTTGGACCTGGGCTAGTGACTGTGTCTTGCTTGGTACTCGCATGGGGAGGGGATATCTGAGTCTGCTCATCGCAGGGTCTGGGTACCGTCTGGAAGTTTCCCGCCTACTATGAGCTCACCCTAGTGTCCCCCCCAGTAATGTGACTACCCAGCAAGCACAGCCCCCTGCTCAGCTGTCTCGGGCTGGGCAGGATAAGCCTGCAAACCCCTTTCTCTACTTTCTTCTCTTGCGCTCTGTGTCTTTTGTAAATAATGCTTGCCGGTGATAAGCAACCGGACTGGTGCCCCCCAGAATAGAACGGGGCTGTGTGTGTGTGTTGGAAAAAAAAAAAAAAAAAAAAAAACTGCGAATGGCTCATTAAATCAGTTATCATTT